GCCATGGCCGACGTACGCAAGGTCCCCGCTGGCCGGGGGGAGGGGCTCCAGCGAGGGCGCCGGGACCGCCTTGGCCGAGAAGTCGCTGATCCCCACCGACAGCCGGGACATGATGCTGACGCCGTGGAACTGCCCGTGGCTGGCCATGGAGGTCATGCGGAAGAACAGCCGCCCGCCGGCCGGGTTGCCCGGGTTCACCGCGCGGTACCGGATGTCCGGCACCTGGAACGATCGATTCGCGAAGTACCGCTTGATTTGGTCCGCGTGGTCTGGGCGCCCGCCGCCGGCGGGGGCTGGCGCCGGGGGGCCGGCCGGCGGATCATGGCGCTCGGTGGACATGAAGCGGGCAGGCGGGCGGGCGGGCAAGCGAGGAGGGGCAGGGGTCCGCGTGTGCGTGCGTGCGTGCGTGCGTGCTCAGGGAAGGGGGAAGGGGCGAGGAGGGGAGGAGGGAAGAGGCGGGGAGGGGGAGGGGAGGGGGAGGGAACAGGGAACGGGAGGGGGCGCGCGCAAAAGGACACGGGGAGCAGTTCTATGGGGACGGGGCGCCGGACGACGCGCGGGACCCCTCCCCATGACGCGCGAACCGAGCCCAGCCGTGAGAGGGAGAGAGACAAGGGCCCAATCTGTTCCGCCCCCCCCCCCCCCCCCCCCGGGCGCCAAGACACACGGCGGGGGAGCGAGGGCTGCCGCCCCCGGACGGCGTGCGTGACTGCGTTGGAGCCTCGCCGGGCCGCCTCGCCGCTCCAAAGGCAGGTATGTGATTACGGATGTGCGCGCAAGCGCGCATGAGTGTGTTGTGTGTGTGCGCGCGCGCGCGCAGGTGCGGGCGGGGTCGCCTCTCCCGACGGCTGACCCGGCGCCCCGGCATCCGAGCCCCCTCCCCCCTGGTCACCGCACACAGACGAACACAGGGCGGCAGGGGGGCTTAACCGAGCCCGTTTAGTTAATCCCCGCTTCGGGCAGGTGCCTGCTTGCCGGCAGGGCCGGCGGAGGGCGCGCCCTGTTTTTTTTTTTTGCCTGCCTTGTGCCGCCGAGCGAGAGCGGCGTCCCCCGGGGCCCGGGGCAGAGAAAGAGGCAAAGGGCGAGCGGATAAATGGAAAAGGGCCCCCCAGCCACGAAGGCGGCGCACGTTCCACGACGGCGCAGGTGCCAATCAACCGCACCGACGCTCCCCCCCCCCCCCCCCAGGAAGGAACGATCGGAGGGGGCACCAACAGGCGGGGAAGGCGTATGACCGGCTGACCGCCGGCGGGCGGGGAAAATCAAGAATAAAAAAGAAAACACAGCAACAAATGGGCGCGCAAGGATGATACGCGGGTTGTCTCGGGTTTCGTATTTTGGCGCGACCAGGCAAAGGGGCGGGGGATCGCGGAAGAGGGGGGGGGGGCAGCACCGGGCGGCAAAAGACACATCGGGCGGGGTGCTGTATGCGTCGCGACATCCGCGGGAGCCTCCTAGGGCCGCTGCGGGGCATTGACCTGGGCCATCATCCGGTCGACGACCTGGCGCGTGCCGGCGAGCGACCGGTTGACAGCCTTCGCCGGGGAGGGGCCGGCCGTTTTGGGGGGGAGGGGGGAGGGCGAGTCAGACCACAGGAGGGGGACCGGGACGCAGGCCGGGCGAGGCATGTGGCGGGACGCACCTCGATGCGCTTCTTCAAGGAGAGGAGTCGCGCGACATGCTTGTCCAGGATCGGCGTCGAGGACTGGTTGACGAAGCGGTGGAGCTCTGTGCGTACGCGCGAGCGCGCGCCCGGCCGCGTGTCGCCGGCGACCGGGAGACCGATCGTCGTGCAGGGTGTTTGCATCGCGGGCACAGGGCCCATGGCGGCCAGACGGGGGGCCCGTGGGCCAACAGAGGGCGAGGGGCGAAGGAGGTGAGCACTTAGGGAGCATACGGGGCGAGTACACGCGTGCATCAACAGACGCGCATGTACATGCATGCACACACACAAACAGCCTTGTAGACGCAATCGCACAGACAGAGGGAGAGAGGAGGAGAGAAGGGCAGACGCACCACCGGACAGACGATCCACCTGCGTCAGCAGGCGAACCTGACACTCGCGCGCCTGCAGGACACTGGAGTCCAGCGACTGGATGGTCGGCATCAGGGTGTTGGTCAACCCGGAGGCGAAGGCCTCCACGACCAGGCCCTCGATCTCCAGCCGAGTGGGAACCGGGGGCACGTCGATCTCCGTCGGCTCGGGGATCCCGACGTCGGCGCCGGCCAGCTGCAGCGGCTCGGTGTTGGCGGTGGGCTCGGGGGCGGACATGGTGGATAGCGTGCGCTCTGGGGTCGGGGAGCAGGGAGCAGGGGAAGGGAGCAGGAAAGGAGGGCGGGGCAGACGAGAGGGGCGGGGGGGGGGGGGGGAGGGTGGGCGAGGGGAGGGGGGGTGGGAGGAGGGGGTGGGGGGAGGGGGGAGGGAGGGGGAGGGGGGAAGGGGGGGGGGGGGGGGGGGGGGGGGGGGGGGGGGAAGCGCGCTTGCGCCTTCGCCCGGCCTCGGCCGGACACGGCGGCGCGCCAAAAGCCCGGCGCCCCGGGCGGCAGGTGCCGGTGCACCGCACGTGCCCGGTGGACGTGATGCTCCGGCAAGTGCGTAGGCACTTCGCTCGTCCTGCGCGCCCTGTGCGGGCCTTTTTCGGCCGGTGCCGCCCGGGGCCGGGGGGTGCGTGCGGCGGCATGCAGCTAGTTCCCCTCCCTTGCCGCCCCGCCCATTCCTCGCTTCCTCCTTTCCTCCATTTTCCTCCCCCCCCCCCTGCTGCGATCTGCGCCTGAGAGAGTAGGAGCGCCATCCCCTGTGCCATGATTTCCCCGGACAACGATTCGAGTGCGCCCCTCCCCTGTCCACAGCTGCCTGGGCACTTCGCCCGGCCCGTCCGCTGACCTTGCCCCGCTCCCTCAAAAACACCCCCTGCCGGCCCGCATGCAGTGACGGTCGACCAGACGGCCGGCGAGCAGCCTGCCAAGCTCCACTCGGTCGTCCGTCGTGGAAGGGGCTTCAACAACAACTGTGCGCCTTGGCCGCGTGCGGCGCCTCGTGGCCTGTCGCTGTGCTGCCCGCGCCCTGACCATGCCTCCCCCGTGCTGACCGTGCCCCCCCCCCCCCTTCCCTCTCTGCCCCCTGCCCTGACCGCGTCCCCGTCGTGCGCATAGCCAAGTCCACCCTCGACGGGGACTTCGACCACATCGAGGAGGACACCCCGGACTCGGCCAGTGCGCCGGCCAAGAGTACGCGCGCGCGCACACACACACGCGCCTTTGGGCCCTGCTCGATCACGCCCGCCGCCCCGGTGACTGACTCTCCGCCCGCGCCCCTCCAGGCACCGAGGGCTACACGATCATCCTCACCAACATCCACGAGGAGACGCAGACGACCGACCTGCGGCCAGTGGTGGCGCAGTTTGGCCAGGTGCTGAATATCAGCGTGCCGCTGTGCTTCCGCACCGGGCTGGCCAAGGGCTATGCCTTCGTGCAGTACAAGGACTTCGAGGCGGCCAAGACGGCCATCGCCGTGCTGAACGGCACGTCGGACGAGCCGCGCGAGCTGGTCCTCGAGGTCGAGGTGACGGCCGACTGGGCGTTCGTGCGCGGCCCGGCCCGGTCTGGGCGCCAGCGCAAGTGAGCGCGCGCGCGCGCCCTCCGCCGTGTGGTGGGGGTTCTTTTTCTTTTTCTTTTTTCTTTCACTCTCCCCGGTGTCTGCGTCCTGCGGCCCGGCAATACACGTCTTCCTCTGAGCATGCCCTACGTGCGTGGTGTGTGTGTGTGTGTGTGTGTGTGTGTGTGTGTGTGTTTGCGAAGTGCGGCTCGGCTGCGGGGCGCGAGCCGGGTCCCCCCGCGCCGGCTGTCGTCCCAAGTGGCTTCCTCCGTGTGTCTGAGCTAGGGCGATGCCCATCATCCATGCATGCATGGGCGCGCGGATGGACACCGATGCACAAGTGCCCGCGGCTGCACAAGTACCCGCGGCTGCACATGGCTGCACATGGCTGCACATGGCTGCACATGGCTGCACATGGCTGCATATGGCTGCACACAGACGCACACAGACGCACACAGACGCACACAGACGCACACAGACGCACACAGACGCACACAGATGCACACAGATGCACACAGATGCACACAGATGCACGCAACTACATTCAAGCACACAATCCCCCGCACAAGCACATTCAACGGCAGGTAGACGCCCACGGTCGCGCATGCAAATACCGCCACCTGCAGGCGCTGATATAGATCAGGGTGCCGCTGATGGTCATGACACCATACCCATGTTGGGTGCAGGCGCCAAAGCGCCACCATGTCTGGCGCCCATCGGCAGCCCTGCGCGCGCGCGCGCCAGGCATATGTGACAGAGATCCGGGTCCCTGCTCAAAGCGACTTGGCGCAGGGGAAGCGTGTTGGGCTCATAACCCAAAGGTCGGTGGATCGAAACCACCAGTCGCTATCCATTCTTTTTTGCATCTGGCGGGGAGCGCGAGGGAGGCGAGGCACGGCCGACAAAAGAAGACATTCCCACATCGGGACTCGGACCCCGGTCTCGCGCGCGGGGGAGAGAGAGAGAGAAAAAGAGAGAGAGAGAGAGAGAGAGAGAGAGCCACGTATCCCAACCATCCCCCGACTAGACACACGGGAGGCGCGGGAGACGGCCCGCCGCCGGGGCGCCAAAAGGGAAGATGGCCCCAGCCAGGATCGAACTGACGACCTTCGCGTTATTAGCACGACGCTCTAACCAACTGAGCTATGGGGCCGGTCATGGAGGGACACACTCCAGAATGACATAAATGTGACCACAATTCCCCCGGCCCATGGCGGTCGGTCGTCACGCATCGGCATCAGGCCGGCCCCCATGCCTCGCCCGGCTGGCCGCCGGCAGGTCGCTCCAAGGGCTACGTGCGTGCATGCGTGCGTGCGTGCGTGCGCGGCAACATTTCGGGTCGCGCGTCGCTGCCGGATTTGCGGCCAGACCCCCGGGAGCCACCCCGCCCCGGGGGCCTAGGTATGCGCCAAAGGCGCCGTGAAGAAAAGCAGCCGCGCTTCTTTCGGGGGCCCCTTTCCGCGGTGCGGATCTCTCGGGCTGTGTGCCTCATTCCCGGCGTGTGGACTCTGCCACAGCGAACGGGCCGCCGTCTGATCTCGCGGCCGGGCGTGAGCAGGTGGTCACGCTCGGGGGGAACCGTGCTCTCCGTCATATTTAAGCCCACGGAGGGGGGGGCCTCCCAGATCACCGTGTCCGAGTGGTTAAGGAGTCCGATTAGAAATCGGATGGGCTCTGCCCGCGTAGGTTCAAATCCTGCCGGTGATGCATCTTTCCTTTTTGGGCTGTTGTTGGAGAGGCCCGGCGGCGTGACCAACAAATGGCCCCGGGTCAGGCCCCCCCCGCAGAGAGCCATCCCGATTAGTATAGTGGTGAGAATCCCCGCCTGTCACGCGGGAGGCCCGGGTTCAATTCCCGGATCGGGAGCCATTTTTTTGCCGACAACGAGAGCCGGGGGACGGCGGGCGGCGAGGGGGAGGGGAGAAAAAACACCCACACAAGAAGGCGCCCGGGGGCCGGGGGACCGGGGGGGGGGAATGCAGCGCAGCGTCTATCATGTTTAAAGGGAGCGGATGAAACAGGGGCGGCAGGAAGGGGGCGAGCGTGCGCGGTGCATTTAGTAGAGCGCCAGCAGCGGCTCCGACACCAGCAGCCCGATGAGGAACCACACGGCGGCCAGGGCCACGCTCAGGAGAACACCCTGCCAGAAGCCCGGGACGCGGGCTGCACGCGGGGCGTAGGGACATGGAGAAGAGGGGGGGAAGAGGGGGAGAAGAGGGGGGGAAGAGGGGCAGAAGAGGGGCAGAGGAAAGAAGAAGAGAGGCAGAAGAAAGAAGAAGAGAGGAAATGACAGAAGAAAGGAGAGGAGAAGAAAGAAGAAAGGAGAGGAGAAGAAAGAAGAAAGGAGAGGAGAAGAAAGAAGAAGGGAGGAAATGACAGAAGAAAGAAGAGGAAATGACAGAAGAAGGGAGGAAATGACAGAAGAAAGGAGAGGAGAAGAAAGAATGAAGAGACGGAAGAGACGAAAGAGAAAAAAGAGGAAATAATGACCAGCACACGCTCACAGTCAGTGGACACACTCGCCAAGACCCACGCCCAGGGGCGAGAGAGGCGGAGGACGGAACGCACCGTGTGAAGGAGGCAGGCCGGCGCGGGCCAGCGCATCCGGCCCCGGGGGCACCAGGCGCCGGGCAACCGCCGGCCCGGTGCACACGACGGCCCGACCCCCGCCGCCCGGGGCCACCACCGGGATGGAGAAGAGGCACAGCTGGCCCGGGGCCCCGGTCGCCTGGGCCACCGGCGCCACAGCGCCCCGCCCGGCGCCCGCCCCAAAGAGCAGGGTCGCCTGCGGGCCGGCCTCGACAAGGTGCTGGCCCCCGGCCGCCAGGCGCGCCCCGGCCCACGAGGGGCCGACACACCGGACCACCGGCGCCCGCGCCAGCCCGGCCGCCGGGGACTCCCATGCCCCGGAGCCCGGGCCGAAGGAGGCAGTCGCCGCCGCCGCCGAGGCCGCCGCCGCCGCCAGCGCTCCCGGCCGGTCACCGCCATCCCCCGGGTCGCCGGCCAGCAGGGACAGGCTGAGACTGTTGGCGGCCGAGGCGGCCGACCAGTAGAGCTTCACCAGGCGCTGGTAGTGGCTCACCTGGGAGAGGCGCGGGTGCGAGCCCCGGCCGGGGGACACGGACGCCACCGGCGACGCCGGGTCCGGGCCCTCGCCCCCGGGCCCGGGCTCCCCCTCGGCCTGCAGGAGGGCAATGCGCCGGCGCCACGCCTCCAGCGAGCACTCCAGCAGCACCGGGTCCTCATGCAGCGAGGTGGACAGCAGCTGGTCCAGCAGCAGCGGCTCCGGCCGCGGCCAGCCGGACGCCACGTCCAGCGGCAGCGCCTCGAAGGCCGGGCTCCCGCCGGCCGGCGACCCGGTCCCGCTGCCCGGCAGGCTGCCCCCGAGCGAGGAGCCCGGCGTGGCCCCGGCCGGCCCGGCCGGCCACCAGGCCCCGGTCCCCGGGCCCGACCCACCGGGGGGAGGACCCCCGGCCGCCGGGGGGATGGCCGTCACGCGCTCCGGCGAGGGGGGCCCCTTGCTGGGGATGGCCCCGCCGGCCGGGGGCTCCTCGCCGGGGGCCTGGGCCGCGGTCGGCCCGCCGGCCAGCGGTCCAGGACCCTCCAGCCCGAGCCACGCGCCCAGGGCCCGGTGCAGCGGCAGCGCTCGCTGGCGCAGGCGCTCGGCCCCCGGGGTCCCGGGGCTCAGGGCCGCCCCGCCGGCCGCCAGCGCCTCGCGCAGGCCGTCGCACAGCCGCGGCAGCTCCCCGACCCCGGCGGTGGCGGCGGCGGCGGCCGGCCGCCGGAGGGACTCCGCCAGGTCGTTGTCCAGGGCCGGCGTGCCGAAGAGGCTCAGGGCCGGGGCCCCGGCTGCCGGGGCCCCGGGCGGCACCATCGCCGGCGCCTCGGCCCCCGGGGCCCAGATGCTCCGGAGGAGGGCGCGCAGGCAGGCCAGCTCCCGGCCGCCGCGCGCCAGGGCCCGCGCCAGGACCCGCGGGTCGTGCTGCCGGGGGGCCGTCCAGGGCCGGCCGTCCACCGGCGCCGCCGGGCCCGGCGTCGGCAGGGGGCTCAGGAACCCGGGCCAGGCTGCCCCGCACACCGAGGGGAAACAAAATGGGCAAAGGAAAAAAGGGCAAGCAGATCGAAGAGCGTCAGAGGGGGAGGGGGGAGAGGGCCACACACGGGCAGGGCCCGCCGAAGGGCCGCGGAAGACCGGCAACAACGCACTGTAGTAGTACACCAGCTCGTAGGTGAGGATGCGCAGGGCCACGCACGCGCTGGCCAGCTTGGAAAAGACCCGCACCCAGGGGGTGTTGACCCCCTGGAAGGTGCCCGGCAGGCGGACCGTCTGCAGGTAGAACAGCGCGCACAGGACATTCAGATCGTGCAGCAGGGCCAGCCCGGCGCGCGGGAGGAGCTGCGCCGCCGGGGCCGGGGCCGCGCCCGCGCCCGTGCCCAGGAGCCGCCGCGGGTCGACCCCGGTCGGGCCCGGCGCGCCCCCGAGCAGCACGGGCTCCGGGCCATCCGGCGCCGGCGCCGCCTGGTGCATCTGCCCGATCATGTCCCGGCAGTTGAAGACCGACGCGCCGACCATGTTCACCAGGAAGAGCGGGATGTGCAGGTCGGGCAGCGGGTCGTCCATGCGCACGGCGGCTGGGAGAGGGGGGGGGGCAAGGGATGCGCGCACAGAAGCCGAGTCAGTCATGTGTGTGCGAGCGCGCGCGCAGGAGTAGGACCGGGACCGGGACAGGCTCCTCCCGGAGAAGGGGGCGCAGACGCATGCACCCAGGCGCAAGGGGGGAGGGGGCCCACCGGCGTGCACGCACCGAGACAGTGGCCAGCCGCGCGGGTCAGCTGGCCGAGGGTGCGCGCCGTGTAGGCGTACAGCTCGCCGAGGGCCTCGAGGCTGGGGCGATGCTCGGCCTCGGCCGCCGGGGTGGGCGGCGCCCCGGGCCCGGGGGGGGCCGGGTCCATGGCGGCCAGCGCCTCGGCTGCCGTCTGGGCACCGAGCCGCGTCAGGGCCTCCAGCTCGCCGGCCAGGGTCAGCGCAATCTCCAGCAGGAGAGTCACCGACCCGGCGGCCACCCGGCTGGCCGGGGACCTGCCGCCGCCGCCGCCGCCGCCGCTGCGCAGGAGCCGGACCGCGGCCAGCAGGTCCTCCGGCGTGGCGCCGGCCGCCTCAGGGGCCTCGGCCGCCGGCAGCGACTGCGCCAGCCCCGGGAGGCAGTAGGCCGAGTCGGTGGCGGCCGAGCCCCAGGGGGGAAGTCGTGCCAGGCAGAAGGGCCGGAGCCCGCGCCGGCCCAAGCGCCGGCGCTGGGCCTGGTGCCGGCGGCTTTGGGCCTCGGTGAAGGCCCGCAGGTCCGTGATCAGGGCCCGGTAGCCGGCCGCTCGCCGGGCCGCATCCTCGGCCGGGTCCGAGTCCGAGTCCGAGTCCGAGTCGGAATCCGAGTCGGAGGCCAGCTCGGCCGCGGTTTCGTGCATGACCTCCTGCACCCAGGCAAAGAGGTCGCCCTCATCGTGCGAAGCGGGGGACTGCGCGTGCCCGGGGGCGAGCGTCTCGTCAGTCAGTGGTCCCTGGCGGTGGGGGCGGGCGCTTGCACCGACACAGCGTCCGCGTGTGCTCATGTGCACGCCGGAGCGGCATACACACACGGCTGCAGATATATATATATGCATGTATGTGGAATATAGGTGGGTATACACGGCTGCAGACACATGGACGGGCACATTGGGGCGCAGGGGCTGTGATGCAGGTACGCAGGACCATACGTATGCACACACGCAGACAGACAGACAGACAGACAGACAGACAGACAGACAGACAGACAGACAGA